CAGATGCACCTGTTGCATTCCACAGCAGCAGATAACCATTGTTTGCATTTTGTTCCTGAGGTCTCTCAGCTTTTCAGGAGGAAAAATCCTAAGGAAAGGATTTTTCATAAAAGATGTCTGCAACGGGTGTGCTGGGCGTCCCTCTGAAATCAGAGACCCCTGTGCAGCACTCTCACACCTTTGTCTGTTATAAAGATCAGCCAGTCTGATTTAGAGAGTCTTTATTGCTTAATTACCCCAACAGAATTGTTCTTTTATTGCAAATAAGTTGTTACTGCCAACAGCCCTAGTGCTGGATCCAGGTCTCCATCCTTTTTGGGATAGGAAAGAAAATGTGGCTAATAGCCTTTGCCTGATTTCCATGCACACTGTTCCAAAGCCATGGAAAAAACCAGGAATCTGATTCCTCTCACAAGGAATCCAGGAAAAAGGAGGAGGAGCTGAGGGGAAGGAGCAAGTCTGGGTTTTATCTGTACCTGCTGTGCCTTTCTGAATCCACATTTCTGTGGTTATGGCTGTCCTGCACCAGGACAAATAACCCAATCAGCCTCCCAAAAATGGGGAAAGAGTTTGGATTAAAATTAGATCCCTGTTCCTGGGCTCTGTGTGGAAATAAATGTGTTTTTAACAGGCAGGAGATATGGACAGGCTGCTTTTACTCTGTGTACAGAAGATCAGGGGTGTTTACCTGATCTTCTCTCCGCAGGGTGTTTACCTGGTCAGTTATCCAGTCTTTGGTCCATTGTCCCTGCTGTAAATAAATACCTGCTGAAGGAAGCTGTGCTGAAAGGCTGGGCTGGAAAATGACAGCCCTGGAGGAAGGAGAGAAGGAAAATGTTGTTTCCAGGAGGAGGAAACAAAGGGTGCTGGAGCCAGGCAGGGCTGACCCAGGTCAAGGATGGGGAGGAAGCAGCAGGGATTGCTGCCCAGCCCTGGAAGCATCTGACTTTCCTTTCTTGGCTGGGCTGGGCAGAGCTCACAAGGCTCCTTGTTGTGAGCTGAATGCTCCTGGCAGGCTCTGAGTGCAGCTTTGCAGCCTCCATTTCCCTGGAAATCTCCATTTCTGCTTTTACTCACCTGTGACCGTGTTACAGGGGTCTGAGGATGAGGGAAGAGACGAGGATCTGACTCC